GACAGAAGCCGTGAAAGGAGTGCAGACCGCAGCCGATCCAGGTAAAGACAAAAAAGAAAGGCTTTATATTGTGTTGTTTGTAAGACTTATAATTACCAGATATTGTATATTGCTGAAAAGAGTCAATGAAAATAATTCTTATATAAATTCTTTTTGCAGGGAGGTGAGCCGAGACCGAGACAGAGAAAAGAAGCGAGACCAAGAGGATGAAGAAGATGCGTATGAACGTAGGAAGCTAGAGAGGAAACTTCGAGACAAGGAAGCCGCCTATCAGGAGGTAGGAGCCGCATGGAGACTGCTGCGATTGCACAGTCACAGGTTCAGTTTTAGTAATTAGTATCTTTGAGAAAGACACTAATTGGTGGGATTACAGCTACTACATGTTGAATATTGAGGATAATTCTTGGGTTCATAAATAAAGAGTGGGAGGTAACAGTATAAAGGAAATACAATGAGAGATTATAACCTTGAAATCTTCAGATATATTTTTGTGTGTTAGTATTTAGTAAAAATAACATCTCGTGTACATATTTCTCTTAGCTTGCTGTCATTGGATATTTTTATTTGTGTCTTATCTAACATTTTCTACAGCGGCTAAAAAACTGGGAGCTCAGGGAGAGAAAGAAGGGACGGGATTACACCAAGGAGGCTGAGAGGGAAGATGAGCGCCGAAGAGAAATGGTGAGAGAATGTCAAATGACCACTTTTACTCACTTGAACAACTGGTGTGCACATTCCCCTCATAACAAGCCAGAACATTGAGAGTTTTATCTCTAGCCTAAATCTAGCAAAGTTCATTAATCAGTATTCATTCTACTGCAGAATCTGTTTGAAGTTTCAGTTTGAATCAGATTGTTCTTGGTGGGTACAATTTATGGGCTGTTCTATTTTTTTCCATTAAACAACACTGTTATTATTAAGAGTAAAAAAAAAATTGAAACATGCATCATTAAGCATGTCTCTGTGTGTCTTAAGGTGAAAGAGGGCAAACGGCTGAAAGAGTTCCTTGAAGACTATGATGATGACAGAGATGACCCCAAATATTACAGGTGAGCAACATTATAAAAGTAAGGCTCAAGTTCTGTCTTGCGTTAGGCCAAATAGAGTGCCACTCAAAAATAATCATACATGTGCCTCTGTAAATGGAACTGCATCTCATGCAGCTGTTAAATAGCCTGAATTAGGCAGGCGTGTTCAGTGTTATGAAATAAAATGCTGTGAGTAAACCATTTTTGTTGTTCTGTGTGACAGATTTGAACCATGTGGCACCTAAAAATGTAAACAGTCACAGCAGATGCTCTGTGACCCAGATCTGACTTGCAGCAGATGCAGTACTGCGGCTATGGCCATTGTTCTAAATGCTGTTATTTCTGTTGTGACCCCTAGGGGCAGTGCGCTGCAGAAGCGCCTTAGAGACAGAGAGAAGGAGATGGAAGCGGACGAGCGTGACAGGAAGAGAGAGAAGGAGGAGCTGGAGGAGATCAGACAGAGGCTGTTAGACGAGGGACATCCAGATCCAGACGCAGAGCTGCGCAGGGTATGCTTGTCTATAAGAATGTGTATGTGTGTATTTGCCTGAATATCTGTATGGGTGAGCATGTTGTCTTTGTGAAGGTCACTGTATTATCAGTGTTTCTCTGAATATCAGGGTTGTCCAGTTTCCATTGTCTTATTGACCTTTTCTGTAAACCAGAGTGATTGGTGTTTATTTTCTGCCTATCTGCTTCCTGTTGGTCCAGATGGAGGAGGAAGAGGAGGAGCGTCTGAGGCAGCCACCTATCATCCAAGAGCCAGAGCCTGAGGAGGAACGGGAGCGCCACAGGAGTTCACGAGACCACCGAGACCACCGGGACCACCAGGGGGAACAGGACAGAGCAGAGGCCTGCCCACGTGTCGCCCACTCGGACGACGAGGTGGAGGAAGGTGAGGAGGATGATTATGACAACGATGAAGATAATGCTGGTGCAAAACCATGCTTGAAGCCCACAATGCGGCCCATCACGGCAGCGCCCTCAGTATCATCGGCCAGTGGCAATGTGTCCCCTAACACACCTGGGGACGAGTCTCCTTGTGGCATCATCATCCCCCATGAGAACTCACCCCCAGAAGCCCTGCCACAGGAAGAGCACCGGCCGAAGATCGGCCTCAGCCTCAAACTGGGTGAGTCTAAAAAAAAATGTGTACAAGTACTTGCAGAGTGAACTAAAACTGTAAAAAACAATTGCATTTTAAAACTCCTTGTCTTCTCCAGGGCCCACAGGGAGCCCCAGTCAGCCCAACTCGGGTAAAAGGAAGAAGCTTCCCGTAGACAGCGTCTTCAATAAGTTTGATGACGAGGAGGCTGACGAACAGCCTCGTAAAAGGAAACTGGTGCCCCTGGATTATGACGATGACAAGAGTCTCGGGGTGGATGGTGCCGGACTGTCCAGCATAAAAGGAGCCAACGCTGAAGAGAAACGCAAACACATCAAGAGCCTGATTGAAAAGATTCCCACAGCAAAGCCTGAGCTGTTCTCTTACCCGCTGGATTGGTCTATGGTTGACACGGTGAGGAGGGAAAGAAAAATGTGTTGCATTTGAATGAACCTGTCAGTTTAACTAGGAGCATTATCATTTACAGTACTAGCCTTGAGTAGTAGCTATATGATGTCCTGGTTTCATAAAAGAGCACAAACTTAGTCTTCCTGACCTCTGATGCTTTACTCTATATTGATTGTACAAGAAAACAGAAGAATGATTTATTCACTTCTCCCTTTATGATATTTCTTGCTGGTCTTGATTTGATGGTAGTGACTGAAATGGTAGCAGATGTTGATACCACTTAAAAAACAAAATGTGTACTTTTATCTCATTAATTAGACGTTAATGGAACGACGGGTTCGGCCCTGGATCAATAAAAAGATCATTGAATACATTGGCGAAGAAGAGCCAACGTTGGTGGACTTCGTCTGCTCAAAGGTATCGTTCCAACGTCTGTACATTTGACTCGGTATATACACTTGGAGGGAAATTGAAATGACACTGATGGACTTGCCTTTGTTCTCAGGTGATGGCTCACAGTATGCCACAGAGTATCTTGGATGATGTTGCTATGGTGAGTAACACAATGGGTAACCCCTCACACTGTTGAATGCTTTTATATTTGTGTGTTAATATTAGGGACATGCAGACATTTCTTACTTTGAGATAGTCTATTTGATTTGTGTAATAATCAAATGATCAAAAGGTAACCAACAAAGTATAGAAATAATTATAAATTGACAGAATTCAAATCAACCTTTGATGTAACTGCAGATTATAACAGACAAATGATTAGGACTCTGCATATTCTGTGTTTTGTGAAATGCAGTATCAAACCTCACTTCATCATTAGACCAGTAGCAAAGTAGTGACAAGTCAATAGATGAGATGGAGCTGCAAGGTCCCCTAAGCCATGGGGGTCTTGTTGCTTATCTTCATTGTCCCATTCATATTGCTATAACTAGCCCTTTATCACAGCAGACATTTTGACGTCGTAGTAGGAGGACAGCACAGCTGTAATGGATACACTCAGGATGGCTGCAATCCATATATGTCTGCTATTTCCAGGATTATGGTATTGTGCATGCTTGCTGAGTGGCATTGTTTATGGGGACACAATGCAAATCAGCCATTATTAATGTTATCACACCTGTGCTTTTTTTTTTCTCTCTACTGTAACAACTCAAAATGTCTGCTGTGAAAAGGTCTATTAGGAGTAATCTTCTGGTGATGTCTGCGCCCCAGACAGACACTCTGGAAGTCTGCTCGAGGACCCGTTGTCTTAAAGTGTTGTGGATTATTAAGGCCCTTATCACAGTAGAAAGGGCCAGTATTTATCTCCTTTAGCTACTTCATCTGTAACTCATTATTTCCTTTAACCCCTGCTGCAGGTCCTTGACGAAGAAGCTGAAGTCTTCATTGTGAAGATGTGGAGGTTACTCATTTATGAAACAGAGGCCAAGAAGATTGGACTGGTGAAGTAAGCAAAACAACCTCTGAATGTAGATCATTTCCCCCCCTCAGACTCCAAATACTGTATAATAGTGTAGCGCTATTATGTCACCCCAAACAAAACTTGTCCATACCA